AGAAAGAGTATAATCTCCAAAAAAAAAAAAAAAAAAAAGAGAGAGAGAAAAAATATCTAATTAATCCAAAAGCCAAATATATCAATAATTACAATAAATACAAATGTACTAAATACCCCATGAAGACAGACCGAGGTGTCACTCATGATAGTCTTGTTAAATGCTAAAATGGGGTCCATGAAGACTATTTGGTGTTTTAAGGAACTTAGAAGAAGAGTGATTTGATATGGAAGATTTCTATGGACTTGGAGGAGACAATAAACAAACGTGATGCCAAAGTAAACAACAGGGAATATGAAAATAAAAAGGAATGGATGTGGTTTTAGAAGATACTTTAAGAAAACTTCACCCCATCTTCCCTAACATCCCCAACCATTTGCAAATACTTACTGATAACTGCAGAAAACTCGTAGAAGGTCTTCAGTACGAAATTCTTGGGGGAAGTCATAAATTTCAATGACATGTGGGAATTCACAATCACTGAGGTCAATGTCAGGAACTTCATGGTTGTAATAATCAAATCTAGGTTCCTGGATACCTTCTCTGCTCTTCACATTCCCTGACAACTAGGGAGGAGGAAGCATGTAAGTGACTGTTACATCAAGCCAGGGCATATAAAGTTCCTCCCATAAGTGAACAATCCTCCTCCCTGTCTCCAATGGTCCTATCCCTTAACCTTTAGCATTGTCTTTGTGTTAAAGTTGTTCATGAATACAATGATGACCAGGGATTTATCACCTAGTTTATATTATACATACGGAATACTCAAAATGGCGTTGAAATTCCAGCAAAGACAGGTACTGCATAAAACTTAACCTGAATCTATCAACTAGCATGTGAGAAAATGCAGACTGATTAATGTGGTGAGCCACAAATGGCACATCTTGGAACATGAAAGTCAGACAACAGCTGAAGAGATAAATTAATAACATTTGTTTTGTTTGCGCTTATTGATCAGGCTCATCTCATAGTTTCTTCTCTGGAACAGAACAAAAACAGAACAAATTTTTTTTTAAATAAAAAACTTTGTTAATCCATCTTTTGTTGAATGTATTAAAGAGTGAGTAAAGAGCTAACAGGAATTTGTAAAGGCAAATATAAGTGGTACAAGTAGTTATACTTAAGGTCCCTAGCATGAGAGCTACCTAAAGGAATTACCACAGAGCAGGCAAGTGAATCAATTAATAGTAATAAAAAATACTTAAAATTCTACTATCCTATTTAAAAAAAAAAAACAAAAACTGAAGGATATTAATCATTTCACACTGGAAGTAGAAAAGGAAGGAAAAGTGCAAAGTGGCAGCAAAGCCATGAAAGACAATGCCTTATTTCTGTCATTCACTTATTATAAAAAGATGTTACTAACGACCAATCAAAGCTTCCAGACCCTGAGACACCCTGAGAGTACCCTCTCCCTGTTAACCAAAAGTCCTAGTAGAGTCTGTTCAAGCCTTCCCTTTTATACTGTGCCTTTTTTTTTTTCCTATCAAGTGAGGAAAATGAGAACTTGTTTTGCCAAAGATATATCTCCCATTCTTGGAGAAGCTAAAAACGGATTCAAGTTTTTTTTCAGGGGAGGAAAGGATGAAAAGGGAAAGTGATTTAGGTTGTTGTTGTTCTTGTTAGGTGCCACTGAGTTGGCTCCGACTCACAGCGACCCTATGCACTACAGAACAAAACTGCCCGGTACTGCGCCCTCCTCACAACTGCTGTTATGCTTGAGCCCACTGTTTCAGCCACTGTGTCAATATATCTTGTTGAGCATCTTCCTCTTTTTCACTGACCCTGTACTATACCAAGCATGATGTCCTTCTCCAGGGACTGATCCCTCCTGACAACATGTCCAAAGTATGTAAGACGTAGCCTTGCCATCCTTGCTTCTTAGGAGCATTCTGGTTGTACTTCTTCCAAGACACATTTGTTCATTCTTTCGGCAGTCCGTGGTATACTCAATATTCTTCGCCAACACCACAATTCAAAGCCGTCAATTCTTCTTCTGTCTTCCTTACTCATCGTCCAGCTTTCACATGCATATGATGTGATTGAAAATACTATGGCTTGGGTCAGGCGCACCTTAGTCTTCAAGGTGACATCTTTGCTTTTCAACACTTTAAACAGGTCTTTCACAGCAGATTTGCCCAGTGCAATGTGTCTTTTGATTTCTTGACTGCTGCTTCCATGGGTGTTGATTGTAGATCCAACTAAAAAGAAATTGTTGACAACTTCAATCTTTTCTCCATTTATCATAATATTGCTTACTGGTCCAGTTGTGAGGATTTTTGTTTTCTTTATGTTCAGGTGTAATCCATACTGAAGGCTGTGGTCTTTGATCTTCATCAGTAAGTGATTCAAGTCCTCTTCACTTTCAGCAAGCAAGGCTGTGTCATCTGCATAATGCAGGTTGTTTATGAGTCTTCCTCTAATCCTGATGCCCCGTTCTTCTTCATATAGTCCAGATTCTCGGATTATTTGCTTAGCATACATCTGAATAGGTAAGTATGGTGAAAGGATACAACCCTGACAACACACCTTTTCTGACTTTGAACCATGCAGTATCCCCCCGTTCTGTTAACAACTGCCTCTTGATCTACGTACAAGTTCCTCATGAGCACAATTAAGTGTTCTGGAATTCCCAATCTTGGTGATTTAGGTAATATCAATTAAAATGTTTATCTATTGCTGTGCCTCTAGTTCCTTCTCTTCACTAAGCCTCCGTTTCACATCAGTTACACAAGGGATTCCTGTGTAACTATTACTACTAATTCCAAAATTTTTCATCCCCCCCCCAAAACAGAAATAATAGTACCTACACCTCATAGATAAGTGTGAGGATTAAATTAGATGATGCAGTAAGTGCTTAGAATACTGCTTTGCATGTTACACATTCAATGAATTCAACCCATTTTTAATAAACTTTAACTGAGTGCTGATATGTTACATGTAACACATGATGTTAGTACCACTTCTGAATAGAATGTAGAAAGCAACAAAAGAATGTTCCTCCCACTATAACAATGAGAAAAGGCCAGCTAATTAAGAAAATCTGACTTCTCTTAAGCTCCCCAGAGAACTGAGGATGCAAGACAATCAAGGGAACTTAAATCCAAAGAGTGACAAGCCCCTCCAAAGAAATATAGATTACATAAACTATTTCATTTTTGGCAGACAATGGGAAGAAGAGGTCACCATACAAGCGCGTAAGAAGATACCACGTAAATTTTTAAAAAATTCGTACAAGTCTAGAGTGGGTTACTATACAAGTTAAGAATAACTGGAAGCCCCAAAGACAAGCAGACTCTGCAATTACTTGCAAGCTCTTTTCCTTGGGCCTCCACTGAATTTCATAGGACAGACTGGAGGCAACACAGGAGTCCAGAGAGAGCCTCCCCAGGTGGCACAGGCATGCAAGGACTATTCAAAGCTGAGAAAAAAGCAGGAACATTGAGGAAACATTCTCTGGCAGCCCAGTTCCCAAGAAGAACACAAGGTAACAGCAGCACCAACAAATCCCAAATCCAGCTCAACTCCTGACGACAGTGACAAAATCCCCCATATTATTGAGGGGGAGTGTTAATTAACAACTTGTCAGAAAAAAGATGAACTCATTTCTGAGCGAAAATACTATTTACCTCAGATTCCACTGTTTATCTATATATGATGTCTAGCATTCAATAAAAAATCATGAGACACACAAAAAGTAAGAATAATCAACCCATTGTCAGAGATAAGGCAATCACAGAACCAGATTCAGAGATGATTCCAGATGTTGAAATGATCAGAAAGGGACTTTAAAATAACTATAATTAACGTGTTAAAAAAATCTACAAGGTGAAAAACATGCATAAACAGCTGCATAATTTGAACAGAAAAATTTTTTAAAAAGTCAATTAGAAACGCTAGAAATAAAAAAAACAAAACTCACAATAACAGAGGTGAAGAAAAACCTTAACCAATTTAATTCACCCATATTTTCCTTTCTACATATGTAAGAGAATGATATATAATAAATACTTACGCCTAACAAAGTCTCAGACAGTTCTTTCAACATGTACAAAATAAAAATTCTAAGTGATAAGCAGTCTGTAAAAGTTTTCTTTTTTCTTAGTGATACATAAAATAATGGTGTATCTTAAAATCAGTGGCAATTCAGTTCAGTTAAATAGAATTCTGATTTTTTTCTAGTGATTTCTGAGAATAAGTCTCATTAATTCTATAAGACTGTAAACTCCTTAAACCTTGTTATTCTTCTCTTTTATCCCTCAACATCACCAAGGTCAGAGTTGGGCACAGAATAGCTGTTCAGTATCTGTTGACTGGCACTATGTGGCCTAAGCTAGGTAAGTAACAACTTTTCTGGGCCTTAGTTATCTTACTATAAAACGAGAGGGCTACACTAGATTAAAGATCCCTTTCAATGCTAACATTCCACTTTTTTAAAAAGACTTGTACAGCTCCATCTCTAAGACAGGATAAAGTTCTAGTTTCTAGTCCTTATAGTTAAGGGCTGAAGGACCTGTAACATAACCCTGGCTCAGAACTTTGAGGGTAGGAATAAAAACATATTTGTGGTTACTTTTAATTAAACACAAGAAAGCATAATAAATTACTTTAAACTATAGTTACAGCTATAACAAATTTAAATATGGGAGGAGGGTTATCATAGGGACAAACACACCACAGACTTGACAACAAGCTAGTGGAATAAAATAATTGCAGTTGCTTTAAGAGTTATTGTTGTCTATGTGCATAGGATTAATCCATACAGTCAATTCTCAATTATGCAGGTGAGGTTATTCAACATGTTTGTTTTTGCTTTCACTTCTGCTATCATCTTATGGCTAGTTAACTACTTATTACCTCATTTTCTATTAAAGAAAATCAATTTAAAATTTTATGATTTACTATAAACCTTGATAAATCAGAAGATCTGGTTGGAGAATAGGTTTAAACTATAAACCAAAAAATGACATTTTTGGATTATCTGGATTTGAGTTTATCTTAGGATCCCAGAATAACAGGAAATTGAGAGCAATAGCCCTTTTTTTTTTTATTTTGGTCTATGGTAATATTGTGACTAAATCAGTAGCTAGAGTTAAAATGTTTTACCCATTTAACTTCCCATCTTTGGCAGACAAGGAAATAATACCATTAATTTAAAAGAAAACAAAAAACTATTTCAAGTCTTTTCAAATTTCTCATGATCCAAGTTCAAAAATATCCACAAAAGGAGTTCCCTAAAAACCTAATGACACTATAGTGTGTTATGTACAACTAAAGTTATAGTTCCAGCCCCCTTCTATACTGCTTTGGGCATAAGTCATTTTCAATAGTAGAAAGAAAAATTCAGGCTTTCTACTCTAATACCTTATATATTAAGTGTAAGAGAGGATATGTCTCCAACAGTAATCTCTATCTGCAAATAAAATTATCTACTATATCCAAGCTATGCCTACACTAACCTTATCAAGAAACCAACGGCAGACATGCAAACTTTGGCTTCATAAAATTTGTAACATAGAATGGGTAGAACGCCATGCAAGGTGTCATCTGGGGATTTCTCTAGAAT